CCCCCCCCCCTCCCCCCCTTTGATGTATCAGTTTCCAGGAGTCTTCTCCCACAAACAGGGCCACCGTAACACCCCTTTTATGAAATTGAAAAGTCGGCAGGAGGGCCGGCGATCACAGCTTTTCTCCACGGCGAGTTGGAGAGAGCGAGTCCAAATGAGGGGACAAAGTTGCTCTACAACTTTGGTTTTATTAGGATTGATGCAGCAAGGCAAGCGTATCGTTCCCTGTCCAGGAATCGGCTCCCGCAAACTCGGGCACCTCAAACCACCAGTGCTCGGCCCAGCTATCGGCCGCGGAAAAAAATAGAGTAGAAACGTTTCTAGTCGGATAAACTTCGGCACTCCTGTCGTGGCCCATACGTTTCCTAACATCGTGGCTTGTTAACTGGCTGGTGGTGGAAACCACCAGTATGTTTCCCAGCCATTTTTCTCCGATGCCACTGTGCACGTGCCACACACAGCTTTCGGCCCGCGACCACCAGAGCAGGCAAAAAAGAAAACGCGCTCGCCACATTAAACCCCACCAGTACGTTTCCCAGCCATTTTTTCTCTGATGCCGACAGTGCGCACGCCGCAACTTTCGGGGTACGACCACCAGAGCTAAATGGCTGCCTCTGCCAGCCAAAACAGAAAGCGCGCTCGGCCACCTTAGACCACCAGTATGTTTCCCAGCCATTTTTCTCCAATGCCATTGTGCGCACACCGCAACTCTCCGGGGACTGCCACCAGAGCTAAATGGCTGCCGATGCCAGCCAAAAAAACAACAACACGCGGTTCGGTTTTGTTGGTGTGCAGGGCGTTTCTAGGCTCGGCAGGGGGGAAGGGTCACAGGTGCTGTGGTTTAATACCCCCTTTTTAATGAAACTCTCTGAGGCAACTTGGAGACAGCGAATTCAAACGAGGAGAAGAATCATAACACTTCCGTTCTCAGGATCGTCACAGAGCAAGCTGACCATCTCTTTCGGCTTTGAAAGATTTCTGCTCCTGCAAACTCTGCCCCTTTGATACCGCCCGTCCCCCTCCCCCCCTAAGAAGTTGGCAGGCCACTCATCCCATGTTTCTCTATGACGACTTGGCGAAAAATTAATTCTGCGATCCTCAGTGATAAGGATTGATGCAGCAAGGTGAGCATATATCATTCAGCTTCGAAGAATTTGTTCTTGTCAAACAGTGCCAACTTGATACCTCCCTTTTATGAAATTGAAAAGTCGGCAGACCAGCGATCCCAGGTTTGCTTTACGGCGACTTGGCGAGAGAGCGAGTTTCAAGGCAAAGACAAATGATTCTGCACCCCTCAGCGATTAGGATTGACGAGGTAAGGCAAGTACATCTTTGATTTTCTCAAGCTCTGCCACCCTTGATGTACCCACGCCCCCCCTTTTATGAAAGGGGGGGGTCAGCAAGCTGGCGATCCCAGGTTTGTCTATGTCGACTTGGAGAGAGCCAGTTACAAGGAGGAGGAGGAGGAAAAACAACGATTCGCAGAAACCTCAGTGATTTCGATCGATACAGCAAGGTGAGCATATCATCTTTCAGCTTCGAAGAATCTGCTCCCGTGAACTCAGCCACCTTTATACCCCCCCTTTATGAAATTGAAACGTCGGCAGACCGGTGATCCCCGGTTCCTCTGCGGCGACTCCGAGAGAGCGAGTTACAAGGCCCCTCCTTTTATTTATGAAATTGAAAGTTCAGCAGACCGACGATCCCAGGTTTCTCCACGGCGACTTGGAGACAGTGAGCTACAAGGAGCAGAAGAATGATTCCGCGACTCTTAGTAATTAGGGTTGACGCAGCAAAGTGAGCATATCTTTCAGCTTCGAAGAGTCTGCTCCCGCGAACTCCGCCACCTTCATACCCCCTTTATGAAATTGAAACGTCGGCAGGCTGTTGATTCCAGCTTTCTCTACCGTGTCGTCAAGCTCCGGCTGATCAATATCCACTTTTACGAACTCGACGTCCTCGTATTCATTACTCAAAAGGTCGAACACCAGCCCAATCTGTTTGCAAGGATGACACCAGATGGCACTGTAATCCACAATAACTAGCTTCTGCGCCGCGTGCGCGGCCTGCAGTACTTTTTGGAACTCCGATTCCGACATCACATTGACGACCCTCGTCGCCCTCTTCACTGCACCATCATAGTCATCGCCACCATAGCCTCCGTATTGCTGCACTTGCAGTGCCGCCTGTTGCTGCGCTTCGAGCACCCCATGTTGCGGCGGGTGGAGCACCCCCTGTTGCTGTGGTTGGAGTGCTGCCGCCTGTTGCTGCGGCTGAAGCTCCGACATACATCGCGCCGGCCCTGCACAGAGAAACCCTGCCAGGGCTCCCTTGGGTTCGAAAAAACGCAGCGCTCTCAAATAACTGTGAAAGCTTCTCGAATTAGCAGAAGAAGAGGACAGAAAGGCATCCATCCATGTTTGGCTTTCTCTCCTACCCGTCGTCGCCTCACACCCAGACCGCAGCTGCAGTCCTACGTAGTACAGCTGCTTCGCCGATCTCGTCAACATGCTCCGGAGCGCCATTGCATTCCACTGCTGCTGCAGCTACAACCTGTGAATGGGTTAAGCACCTTTTCTCTTCTACGCCGCACGCACACCGTCGCCGTCGCCGTCGCCGTCGCCTGTCAGCATTCTAGCACTCCATCTGCAGGAAGACGTACGCACAGTCCGAACACTTGATCTGCACGAAGAGGCATGCACAGTTCGAACACTTGATCTGCAAAAGGAGGTACACAGTTCACACATATATAGTGTAGCACTGTTAACACAGTAATAAGAAACCAAACTGAGGAGCGCAGAGCTGTTGCTGCAGTGGGGACACCACTGAGCTCCACAACATTTTTTCCTTTTTCTTTTCTTCCTTTTTCCTTTCTCTTTTTGTACTCTCTTCGTTTTCCTTTTAGTTCTCTTCTCTTTTCTTTTCTTTTCTTTTTTCTTTTTTTTTTATATATATTCTTCACTCATATACCTCACTCTACCTAACCTCTTATCTAAGTCCAGTTCCGAGTATCGGATGTTGCAGCATCACATCTACGCACACAGGCTGGGGCACCGCCTCTAAGAGTTATGGGTCGGCACCAACCTCGTCCAGTGTCTAAGCACCACAGCTTCTTCCTAAAACCGCGGGCAATGGACGGGAGGGGAAGGAAAACCCTACCAAGCCCTACCAGGCGTGGCAAGCCGACTGACTCAGCTGGTGAGCCCGTCGCGAGCCGCAGGAGGCTATGAGGGCTCGAATATAAAACCGTGGGGAATCAAACCCACAATCTCCTGAATGCCCTTTTCGTGCTCTACCAACTGAGCTAGGCCCCCGGCCCGTTCTCTTTACTTTTTAAAGTTTTTTCTTTCTTCTTTTTTTCTGAAATTTTCTCTACTTTTTCTTTCTGTTCTTTTGCCATGTGTTGAAAGGCAAGTGAAAATCTCAATAAAGGGGGTGCGGGGGGGAAAGAAAAGCTCAATAAAGGGTTGGAAACAAGGATGGGGAAAATGAACCAAGAAGCTGTGGAGAAGTACCCAGGGTTGAGGTCCCTCTAGCAAAGAGGACTAGATCAAGCAACTGAGTTTGGATGGGTTTCGCACATAGAAGCAGAAAAGCAGATCAATCTCGATGTGTTCTGCACCTATCTTCAAAACGCATCCAGATTCGGGCGATACATCCAATCCTCTTTGCTAGTGGGACTGTGCCCCATAGGAAACAAAACAAGGACGAAAGGGAAAACCATCATACCAGGGTCCAGATCCCGGATTCAAACGCCGCCTGAATCGAACCGCCTTGCTGCACTGCTCACAAAATGTGTAAAACGGCCAACTCATCTTCACCTAGAACGCGGAAAGATACAAGCGCCACAATTTTGTTTTTCTCACATATGGAGCGCACAGGAGCAAGGACCGGAGGGACAGAAAAAAATTGACCCTCAAATACCCATGTCGGTGCATGCTTTCTGTAGTGATCAGTGGACACAAATCCACAGAAAAGGGGGCGAACGGTACACATGTAAATGTTATAAACAGGCCACGAGTTCAATCCTGATCGAATCAAGTGGATACAATACCGTAAGTGTCTAACCCCTTAGGAAAGGGGGAAAAAACAAGGGGGGGGAGGGCGGGGTTGGATGTAACTGTGACAGACTCATCAGCATCTTGACCCACAATAATCTGCCTAGAGTTAGCAATACCCTTGAGAAAAGTGGTGGACTATTCTCACACCCCTTGTCAGTGTGTGTGTGTGTGTGTGTGTGTGTGTGTGTGTGTGTGCGTGTGTGTGTGTGTGTGTGTGTGTGTGTGTGTG